AATTCCAGTCAGTGAATGTACAACCAGTCATTGCATATATTCCACCTGACCTCTGATTGGGATGATATAAAGTAACTACAGTGTGCCCTACAAGTGAGCTCAAGGATGGGAAATGGATTTTTTTTAAAAGGAAAACTGTACACCAAACACAAAGGGGGAGACTGTCAAAAGCTTTTTGTCCTGTGAGTGCAGAGGTGTTAACTGTCCATTTCATCTTGAATGGTCTCTTACAGCATAACTCCTTATGCTAAACAGTTTGGTCCACCTTCTATTTAGCTGTGACACTTCTCTGAGTACCTTTCCCAGACCCGAAGAAGAGCTCTGTGTAAGCCTGAAAGCTTGTGTCTTCCACCAACAGAAATTGGTGTAATAAAAGATATTACTTCACCCACCTTCTCTCTAAAAACCCCCAAAACAGCTAAACGTTGAAAAAGTCAATGGGAGTTGGGGGTCTCACCCCCCATTTGTACATTTGAAAATCCCCCAACAAAAGTATTAATTACCATGAGAACAATCTTACAGTCAGGAAAAAGGAGGAGGATGTTGAAAATAAGTTGATATAAAAATAACAAGTGTAGATGGAGACCCTGAACACGCTGAAAGGTCTAATCCAGGAACATTTTCAGAAAAGTGATTTGTTGATTTGCTATTTTAAACAATCTTGTTGCATGCTGAATGATCTCAGCAAGGAATTTTATTTCTTACAAACTCCTTGTGTTACTGTTCATTTGTGAGATGTGAAATTATATCTATGTATTTATATGCCCCAATAACTGTATTATCTTTGCAGCTCCAAAGATGTTACAATACTTCGCGTGAAGCCATCCAATAGCTCCAAGGATTTACATACCAACACACAAAGATGTACTGATCTGGCTTTGCAAAGCAGCACATAGGAATTGGAGAAGAACTCGCAAGGGCTTGATTATATTCCAATCACCAGAAAAAGAAATGTCCTTCATCAAAGAAAGGAATGAGGATAGTGGAACCACAGTTGGGACTAATGACCTGAGACTATGAAGGTGGCTGATTAAGTTGCACTCCCCCCCCCTCCCCCAGCCTTCATATTAGGTCAAATCCTGGCTCTCTACTGTGGAAGGAGTTTATTGGGGGGAGGGTCTATTAGCCATTAAGATTCACATTACTTGTATCTGGAGTGACACAACTAACCTTGGAAGTGGTCAGGCCCAATTTAGAAAGGGACTCAGGACTCCATGAGCACACTGTGCCTAGGACCAATAGAGCTTCTCAGAGGTTGGAGACATCATTTTTATTGGGTCTGGCCTCCCAAGTGCACACAGCATGGATTTGCTAAAGACTTTGAGCCCCACTGGAAGGTGTCTTATGGCAGAGATGAAGAGCCCTACCCCACAGATCATGATCCTCTTGCTCAGGCTCTGCAGAAATTAATCAGATTTCCATGGAGGGGAGAGATTCAGGGGAAATCTTTTTGCTGATGGTCATGGTCTTTCCCAAGATGACAGCTCTACAGAGCTATCAGCCAGGACTGTCTTCTCTAAGAGTTGTACTGACTCACTTTGGAGCCTTTGGAGTTATATCAAGAATCTAGACAGGGCTAGAATATGGATCATAGATATTAGTGTGACTAAACACAAAGTTAAAAATAACTGAAAATAACAAAAATGGAGAACATCGGCAGTTGTTCTTTCCTGGTAAATGTTTTAGATTCTCATTTTTCCAGAAACATTTAAGGGCGGGAAAGGCTTTTGCATCATTGGAATAAATATTATAATTAAATTCTTTGCTTGTTGCATCTTTACTGCATTGTTTTATTAGAATGTCATATTTAACCTTTATTTATAAGTCAAGGAATCTTCATCTCTGCCACAAGACACATTCCAGTGGGGCTCAAAGTCTTTAGCAGATCTGTGCCATGTGCACTTTCTCCTGGTGGTTTTACATTTATGCTCATTGACACTCAGTAAGAACTATAAACAAAACTCTGCTTTCAGTTCCACATTTGCAATTCCCCTTGATTTCACTGGGTGTTCAGTGGACTTCAATGGGAATTGTGTGCACATGTACAAGGGCAGAAGTTGACCCTGCATGTTGAATAATATCATCACAAAATATAAATGAAAGTTAAGAAATATTGAAAAATAGTATAAAACTTAAAAACTAAATATGTAACAACATAATTACAAATTTGAGCTGAGTTTCTCCAGAATAATATAAAGGGCACATTTTGGATAAGAAAAAAAAAAAAAACCCCACAAACCCCAACATGTTCCTTATTTACCATAGTATTGGTCTCCACTACCTTTCTCATGCACAACTTAAGTCATGAACAAGTTAAAAACCTAATAGTGTAAATGAGGCAATGGATTTGGATGTCTCCGATAAAGAAGTGATATTGGTGTACTGCAGCCATTAAGCAAAGATCAAGTTTTGGTCTGCAACTTGCAAAGTCATCTTCTGAATCCATACCTCTGATTTACAGAGCTATGAATCTTGTACAACTAGAGTTAAACCAAGCAGTAACAGCACAAGAATGGGGGGTGGGGTGGGGGAGGAGATAAAATGACCAGCAAAACCTTACCTAGTAGATATATCTTAGACATTACAGCAAGTGTGGTAATTTAAGGATATAAAATTACTTGAAGCAAAACAGGGGGAAAAGGGAGACAGACAGACAATGATCCTCCTATAAATTTCAAATCAGATCTACCAACACATGGTTTCCTGCCAGGTGCATTAGCAACAAACCACTAAGCAAAACATTGCTATGTGTATTTTCGCCAAGTTCCCTGCCTTTATTTTATTTTTTGTTCATGATAAATTTCTATGTACCGACTTCATATTTTGTCTCTTTATAAGTGTATCTATTTGGAAGGAGAATACTCCTATTCCGAACGATCCAACTACCAGCAAGCCTCCTTTGCTCTTTATATTTTGCTGATGAATGCTCATTAGCTTGCAATTACGAGTGTATATGCAGAAGTGCTAAGGGATGGGATTCACACAGAGGGCTTGGTGTTTGTGTTTGGTTTTTCCACTAAGTCGGAACTTCTCTGATGATTTTCACACTTAAATAGCAGAACAGATTTTTAAATCACTTTTTTCCCTTCCTGGTTGAAAACCCCCTTTTCCCTGTTGCATTATAATACAGAGTGACTTTGCATAAAGTGGGTTATTACTGCCAAATAAAGGAGGGAAGTGGGGAGTGGATGTGATGCTTTGTAACTTAAATGGGTTACAATAGATCTATTGGGCTGCTTCTTGAACAAGATTATGTAAAAGTCAGTAAATCCTGGTACAAGAAAACAAGTTTAGAGAAAATATCCCAGACATTTAAAAGAAAATCTAATAATTTGTTTAAAAGGCAATTATTGTTCATAACTATGTCCAAAAGAATTTTAAAGACTTCTTTTAAAATAGGAATCTGACTTATTGTAAATGTAGAGGAGTTGTGCTAGTCAGAGTCAGACTATCCAACAGATTAGTTTATTAGCATGGTGGAAACTGCTCCTTCCCAATGTAATGAACCAATGGCATTGTCACACAAATAGTTAACACGAGTGGTCTGGTGGGACTCTGATACCGCAGAAGTCACATCTCCTGCTATGCTCTGTCCAGGCACTAATGATCAATCATGATGCTCTTGTTAGTCCCTGATAGAATTTCTTCGTGGAAGAGCCACAGCTTTGCACCTGGCTTTGCATCTGCTCTGGTGGAGCATGGATTTGATTACTTTCATGGACTGTTGCAAGATACATCTCTTTAATTTAGCACTTCCATGATTTGGGCACAAAGCTGAGGGAGGAGAAATTTATTTTCCCTGCCAACGAGGTTTGGATTAACGTGGCTGGATGTCAATTGGTGCCAACATTAGTTGGTGGAGTTTTGTTTTTTTATTGTGATGTATTCCTATCTGATGGGTGAAATAGAATTAGGCAAGCAATACGATTTTTTCAGGAAATAGTTAAAAAAATCTATTTAAATTCAGTCTTTATCATATCCTGCTTAAGCAATGCAATATCAAGACCATTATCATCAAATAGCTATTTGATGTCTTAGATATAACATGAAGGAAATATATATTTTTTAATTTATTTGCACAGTATGAACCCGATCCTCCTCTCAGGACACTGGCACAAACTGAGAGTAACTTCACTGAGGTCAATGGAATTATGAAAAAACAAATGCAAGTAAGGGAGAATCAGGCCTTGTATACCTTTGTTTTAATGGGGAGGTAGCAGATCATCTGCAATGACAAAGAGAACAAAAAATTATATATATAAAACTGACTGTTCCCAAATCCAGATACAGGGTCAAAAAACGATGTGATGGATGGAATACAGAAATCCTGATCCTGCCCCATCCAAACATTCTTATACATTAATACTTCTTTCTGACTGAAAATGCATTTCACTTGGTGATAGTGTGAACACATTTTATATAGATTATTTTGACATTTTCCCAAACAACTTCTCCTTTTCAGTAACAGAAAAATGCCAGGATGGATGGGCTGAAGAGAAGATGAATGCAAATATGTGACAAGGATGGGAGCCTATAGGAAGACAAAGCAAGGGCAATTACTATCCTGGATAAAAGAACTGTGAGTCACTTTCGCAAACCATGAAAAAAATAATTGAACACCAAGTATTGCAATAGACTGAGTTGTGGGTGGGGTTAGGAAGAGTAAAGCAGGCAGCTACTATAGATTCTGGTGCTGTCTGTGCTAATTTAGGTGAATCTGTAATTATTTCAAACAAGTTTATAATGCCCTGATTCAGGTTTCCTTCTCACGTGCTATGCCAGTGAAATAAGCCTCAATAACATGCCAAATATATTTTGCAATATACAGTGCATTACAAAAAAAGCTTAGTGATATTGAATAATACCATTGCAAACACCACCACCTATAGAGGAAGATTACCTTTAACTGCTGATTACATCAGCAAGTGCAGCCATCCCCCACCTCTATAAGAAGCACATAAGAGTATTTGCCACATATAAAGAATTTAATAAAAATTTACCTCAAATCTACTTAAACTTGAGCTCTTCGACCGAGACTTCTTGCGGAGATATACTGAAAAGAACCTACGCACTGTGAACTTCTTCATATTCATTTCCATTGCCCCGTTTGAACTACAGTGCAGAGCAGAGAGGAGCTGCAGTGACGAAGAAGGCTAGTGCATCCCAGTTGCCCCTTATATTAAATCCACGGAAGAGAGATTATCAGAAGTAGCTTTGCTAATTCATCAAGTCGTGTACAGATAGATACACAGAAGGTATATTACAAGAGCCATCAAATCTTGCAGTGTGCTGCTTGCTGCTCAGAGCATAAGTGCTTTTTACTCTGTCTTTCTTTCCACTGTTTACATTTCAGTGCTGCAAGCAGAACTCCCTTTCCACTCCCTCGCTCCCTCGCCTTAGGTCCTACTACATCCAATCAGATCAGCTTTTGCTGCATACATAATAAGCACCAGAAAATGACAGCTACCAACTCCCAGGCAGAGCAGGTTTGCAATAAAGAGTAGACGTGTCTATTGCTTGCACTCCTGTTCTCCCAGCCAGTCTTTTCCAATCTCTTGGCTTGAGAACTGTAGGGGGAAAATAAGCACATGCTGCATTTCTGTTTTTAGCTTGGAATTTCAGCAGAGCTATAATTACCATATACAATATGGGCCAGATCTGAGAAGAAACCAGCTATTGTAAAAGAGATTCTCCTAAGAGAAGATTGAAAGACACCATGAGCCCGCTGCTAAATAGTAGCATCTGAAGCTCATTTTATTCTGTGGATTACATTTTTTACCTTTATCCGTGTGAAGTTAAAACATTTTTTCCTGAACAACATTAAACTCCAGCACACAGCGTAGATATTACAGATTACCTAAAGGCTTTACATTTAAATAGTAGTTTGTACAACACTTTGAAAAGATAAAGCACTATATAAAGGTTAAGTATTGTGATTATTATTATATTGTGATGGGAGTCTACAAATGTTAAATGTTAAGAATGTATACATACATACAGAATAGGAACCTTGCTCTTTGTACAGTATAAAATCATAGAATATCAGGGTTGGAAGGGACCTCCAACTAGGAGATCACCTAGTCCAACCCCCTGCTCAAAGCAGGGCCAATCCCCAACTAAATCAGTAATTCTGAGTTACTCATTATACTGGACACATGCAGACCTATGCTTTCCCTCCCTATTTTTAGATTTCCTTTAGAAAACTACTGCATCTCAATGTGCTTCTGAGACCCAAAGTGTTTCTGTGCCAGCCACACACAGTTTGGGCTCCTTGGCCTTAATTATCTTTCCTTTCCAACTGCTAAAGACCATCAAGACATACCTTTCCGCCTATGTCCTTATATGGAAAGAGAACAGCACCGAGGACTTATTAATGACTCAACTGAAAAAAGGTCTGAGACAACAGTGGCACCACCATACTGGGGAAGGTTCTCAGAGGCTAACTGACAGCACCACTGCAACTGATCAGCCTTAAAGAGAAATACACTTTTTGTGTTAATTGCTTACTGGGTCTCTTCAGGCACCTTCAGGGGCTGTGTCATGATTATCACAGGCTGCTCTATTGATTGGTTAGTGGCAAGGGTAAAAAAACAACCAACCAAACCTATCTATAACTGCAACAGCAACCATGACTATTTTCCTAAGATGTCACGGAGTTTATGGTCTCAGCTTACACAGGCCCTATCTTCCCCACCTATATCTTCCTGCACCCCACCCCAACTCCTATCAATTATGTAGCTGTGAAAAGCATCTACCTTGTCAGCTGCTCTGACTGTGTCCTCCTCCTCCAGATCCTGTCATTGGCTTCTTCTCATCTTCTACATCAAATGTGAACTCTGCACCCTTGCTTTCAAGGTCCTGGTGAACTTAGGTTTCCACCTAACTTTTTGATCTTGTTTTTTCTTTCCCGAACCGCATTGCTCCATACCTGCTGCAAAAGCTTAATAATGCTTTTTATATCCTTCTCTTATCTTGTTTCCACCCAGCCCCCTGTGCCTGGAAGAAGGCATGTCCTAGACCAGTGTTTCTCAATCTTTCCAAATTACTTTATCCCTTTCAGGAGTCCGATTTGTCTTGCATACCCCAAGTTTCTCCTCACTTAAAAACTATTTGCTTACAAAATCAGACATAAAAATACAAAAAAGTGTCACAGCACACTATTGCAGAAAAAAAAAAAGATTACTTTCTCATTTTGTCTGTATGAAATTTTAGTTTGTGCTGACTTTGCCAGTGCTTTTTATGGAGCCTGTTGTAAAATTAGGCAAATATTGAGATGGGTTGATGCACCCCTTGGAAGACCTCTGCCTACCCCCTGGGGTACGTGTACCTCTGGTTGAGAACCACTGTTCTTGACTATTCAAGAAGTACCTTATTTCATCACATGAATAAGGAAAGCAAAATCTAGATCTAATATTGTAATTTTTGGGGGTGTGATTAACAAAAGTATTTTTGAACTGTCTTAACCATTGTGGTTTTGAATGATAGCTCGGTTGATGGCATAATAGATGGGATTGCTCAGTTTTCTTAAATCTTTTCCATCATATATATGGAAAGCCCATCTATTATGCCACCACTCAAAACCACAGTGGGTTTATAAAGTTCAAAAAATATACTTGTTGTTCACCAAAAAAATAAAATATTTCGATATTAGATCTAGATTCTGCTACTCTTACTTACGTGGATGCAATTAGCCCTTCCCAACTCTTACGGCACAAGGAGCTGCACCATCAATTAAAAAAAAAAAGATTTAAAACACGTGGCGTGTCCCAGAGTTAAAAACAGTTATTGATGGCTTTTACTATAAGATCTGTCACTGCCTTCATGTTGCAATGGGATTCTTACAGTCTAATATACTGCAATTTTCAGTCATCATTAAAGGCCATTAAATGAGTCTGTTTTGCAATAAACTCCAAAGAAAAATTATCCAAAACTATCACGTACTTGTTACGTACCAGGTGTCCTGTCTTATTTTGTTCAAAATTAGGTCCCTCAATAAAAATGAAATATGTTGTTTTTCTATGTTCGTGCCGTAATGATGTTTTGGAAATGTACTGCAAACACCAATTTAATAATTATCCTTTGATACTGAGGATTTTAGAGTGAGACTTGGATTACGGGCCCATGCAAAGTGGTAAGAATGCGCCTTACATCCCTGAAAGGCCTTACTGATTATTTCCATGCCTAGACCCACAGAAACAAGCTCTGCAAGCATATTTAAGTCCCCTCTGGAACACGTGGTCAGCATGTGGGTGCAGAAGAGCAGGAAGGGTCAGAGTCATGGCATCACTCCCCCACATGGATATACACAGGTCACAGAGTTTAAGGCCAGAAGGAACCACCAGATCTAGTCTGGCCTTCTGCAAACCACAGGCCACCAACACCACCCAGGACCCGCGCACTAAACCCAACAACCAAACTAAGATCACAGAAGACTAGATGGTTGTGTGCCACAGGGAGAGAATAGGATGGACCAAGGTGCACTAATGCCCAAGGCCCATGAAGTGGCAGGGAAATTATTAAATGGGCACATCCCAGCAAGTGAGCCATATCAACACGCTGCACCCCACAAGCTCACTGCCAATCTGATGTGGGGGGAAATTCCTTCCTAACCCCACATACGGTGATTAGTTAGACCCCAAACACACACCAGCCAGCCAGGCACCTAAGAGAGAGAATGACTGGTGCCATCTCAGAGCCCTGACCTACCCCATCCAATGTCTGGTCTGCAGCAGGGGCCATCCTTGATGCTTCAGAGAAATGATTAAAAAAAAAAAACAAACAAACCACATCCCCATCCCAGACCTCAGAATCCATTGAGGGAAGGGCAGGAATCTTTCCTCACCCCTGGAGATGGCCAGCTGAAACCCTGAAGCATGAGCTTTAGGAACATAAATTGTAAACTGGAAGAGAGCCCCAGGGCTGCTGAGTCCTTCCCCCCCCCACCACAACCAGCCCCATAATACAACTACACAAATTTGTCCAACTCAGTCTTAAAAAACTAAGTAAGTTGTTTGCCCCACAACTCCTATTGGGAGGCTGTTCCAAAACCTCATTCTTCTGATGGTTAGAAACCTTCTTCTGTTTTCCAGCCTGAATTTCTTCATGGCCAGTTTATAGCCATTTGTTCTTGTGCCAACAGTGTCCTTTAGCTTAAATAGCTCTTCACCCTCCATGGAGTTTACCCACAAGTATATTTATAAAGAGCAGTCATATCCCTTATCAGCCTTCTTTTTGCTAGGCTAAACAAGCCAAGCTCTTCCATTCTTCTTTCATAAGACAGGCCCTCCATTCCCCTGATCATCCTAGTAGCTCTTCTCTGACCTGTTCCAGTTTGAATTTAGTTTTTTTGAACATGTGTGATAAGAACTGTACACAATATTCCAGAGGAGGTCTTACCAGTGCCTTGTATAATGGCACAAATACCACCCCACCCGCCACTCACTACTGGAGATGCCTCTTCTAATATATCTTAGGATTGCATTTGCTTCTTTCACAGCTGCATCACTTTGGTGGCTCATAGCCATCCCGTGATTGACTCCCCCACACCCAGGTCTGTCTCATCCTCTCATTTCCAACTGATGACCCTCCAGGTTTTGGAGCAGAAATTCTTATGATCAGACCTTAAGTGCACGATCTTGCATCTTGTACAATTGAATTTTATCCCATTTCTGTCGCTCCAGTTTTCAGGGTCATCCAGATCTTCCTCTATAATATTCCAATGCTTCCCAAAGTTGTATCATCATTAGCACACTCCTACTTTTTGTGTCAAGGTCATTAATAAAAATATTAAGAGTGATCCCAAGGCAATCCTTCAGGAACTTCACTAGTAACCTACCCTCAGTCTGATATTTCACCTTTCAGAAGAACCCATTGTCTTATCCCCTTTAACCAGTTCCTTATTCACTTTACAATTCTTGTACTAATACGCATCCACTCTAATTTAACTAATATTTTCCCACACGGTACCATTCAAATTCTTTACAAGGCAAGAGGATGTGGGGGAGGGAATGCTCCTTGACTAATAACATAAAAAAGTACAAATACAGGAAACACACAAACTACATAGATAATATGAAGTGAAGGCACAGAAAATAGAAAAAATTCTACAAGTATCATGTGTGCATTTTATGCTTCTGAGCCACTGTTATTTAGCTTAGCTTCAGAAGAACAAATGAATAAGATGAAGTCTCAGAGTGAAAGATCCATAACTTACAGTTAGCCATAGAATATCCAATTTGCCCAATGACTAATAAAAAGGTACAAGCCAAGAAAGAAATTAGATTAAACTGTACATTCATTGTTCTATGTATAAGCATACTAACAGTCAGATCAACTTGAAAAATTCATTGCACTTCAAAATTCATGGCAGTAAATTATTAATCAGCTTCCCTCTGAGTAATTTTTACTGCCAAAGAACTTGATGGAAATGAAATCCACCAAATGGCTATGCTTAAGGCAAGAATAAACAACAGAGGTGGGGGATCAA